GACCGCCACTTATTGATTTTCAATTTTTTTTACTAGGCGTATTTAAAATCTTTGATTGAGGAGCATATATTTGTGCAAAATCCTTGCTCGTTCCCTCTTTCTCTCTCTCTCGTGAACACCGCTGCACAAACCTGTCCGAGGAGATGGTAAGCCCCAGTTTATGCCTCCCATGTATTAGCATACATTAATGTTAACATACATTACATACATTAAGTTTTCCTCTTGGCAACAAAGCAGCATATTCCCCAAACTGTCAAACTTTTCCTTTTTTCCGACAGATCTTGGGATTCAAACCTGTGACCTGTTGGTCCAGAAAAAGTGCCAGAAAGACAATGAGAGCAAACTGGTGGTGTTGTAGCAACAGGATCATTCCCATTCCTTCAATGGTCAAATGCCAACCAAGGAACCAGCCAAGGAATGCCAGTTAAAAGCCAAGTCAGTATCCAATCCAGTGAACCAGACCCTGTGAGTTATTCAATCATTTAGCAAGGAAAACTGCCTCAGAGAGTAATACGGAAAAAGCTCCCATAGCCAGTAATGTACCACCGACAGCCAGCTTATCAGTGGCTACATCAGTTGCCAGCTTTAATTAAGACATATGTTAGTCCTCATCAGCCTATTAGTTGCCTTTTATGAGTTACATTAGGACTTTCTGTTTCTGTTGTCTTAAAAATACAGGAGTGAGATGAGGTGATTCATGTTAGGCTTTTCCCCCCTTTAATTTGGACATTTATGAAAAAGCTGAGAAAGCATTACTTTTTCACCTCAGTATGTGTCTGGTAAATGGAAACAAAAGGAAAAAAAATGCTGAGTACTGTGTGTCCTAAAAAGGTGGTTAATAAAGGTCCTGATTTCTACATAGTCCAGTTTAACATAAAGAAACTGGTTTATTTCAAATTGGATAATTGCTACCTAGCCTCAGCATTCATCCGTGTAAAATGTGAAAAACTATATAGATTGTTGCCACGGTATAAAATCTGGATCTCCAGTACTTTCACTGGAGCATTTTATAAGGAAAGAAACGGCGCCTTCTTGGTCTGCCAGCTCGATCTAACCACCATTTTGGCTTTTTCGACTCAACAACTTAATCCTGTGACGCAAGTTTGACGATGTGTTGTTTTCCAAAATCAGCTAGGAGGAATCACTAAAAGTGCCACCAAGACGCTCCACTGGAGCAGATAGGGTTTAAAATCTCTTGCTCATGGGTAGTTAGTCTTTTTCTCTGCTCTTTTTCAAGCAGAAGTTGGAACACCCAAAATGCTGACGTTGTGAGCCACAATGAACAGGATCTGAATTAGCTCGATACTACGTGTGTCTGCCTGTGTGAATATTTGGAAAAGAATAATGGGATGTAAATTTGTTTGGATGTGTGTCGCCATTTACACTAGAGAAAAACTAGACATTCCTGTTCCCGTCCACTGAGGACAAGGGGGGCATGGAGGGAGCCATGTAGGGCTCTCTGATTGTATCATACAAGTAGAGCGGAGAGGGAGGGAGGGGTGGAGAGGTGAGAGGTAAAAGAACCAGATTGAGAGGGAAGACTGAGCCAGAAAGAGAGATAGATTTAAAGAAAAAGAAAGCCTCAAACAAAGAGAGGTGGTGGTTTGGGGTTTGTGTGCTTTTGTGGGGGCAGTAGGAAATGATGGGGGCTGAAGATGTGCTGCGGTAAGCATCCAGACATTCAGTCTAAAGTGGGAAAAGTCCTCTTGGCTATGTCTGCAAGAAGATTACTTCTATCAACGGAGCGACTCAGTGGGCTTATGAATGACTGTGTTGTGTGTGTTTGAGACCAACAGGGCATTCTCAAACCACAGCTTCCCCGAGTCATTGGTACTTTCATGCTGATTCAACATATGCACTAAGGGCCATCTGGCCTTAATGTGTGTCACAGTCTGTTTTCTTAATGCAGGAGTGTATGGGTCATAGTAATGTGACTTGTGTTTAATTGTGTATGTGTGTATCTGCGAGCATTTCTTTTGCTACGTGACTCCCAAGTTTAGACCACAAGCGGTAATGATAACAGTGGGTATTTTTTGTGTTCTTTCTTGGGTAAAAATCTTTTACATGCCATATGGGATATAAATACACGTATTCGTACAAAACAAAGGCTGTGAAATCATCACTTGTCTGATCAGATCCCACTTATCGCTGCCAAGTAATACCAGGTGTATATAAACCAGAACTCAGTTGAAAACAGATGGAGAGGTGCCCTGAGGCTGTAGTGTTTTAGAACAAAGACATTACATTCAGCACATAACTTTGTCCAAATTGGCTTACATGCATATGCACAATCAGGAAGCGGGGTTCAGTGTCTTGCTCGAGGTCACTTTGACAAGGGGACAGAAAGAGCCAGAGATCAGAACCACCAACACTGCAATTTATTGCTAGCTGAGCCACAGCTACTCACAGTTTAGCTAAATTTGCCTACAATTAAGGGAGAGACATGAGGCAAAGATACTGTGTGAGGTGAAATGTGCAATTAAGGTACTTAGGCCCCATCCACACTACTGCGTTTTCAAATTGAAAACGGAGACCTTTTGCTACGTTTGCAACAGAGTGAAATAGCGAAAACGAAGACCTAAAATGGAGAAGTTTGAAAACGCTGCCGACCCCGTTTTTTGTTTTGAAACTCTGGAGGGCGTTTTAGTGAAGACGGGCAAAAACGGAGGACTTCAGAAACGATGACACAGACGCTCGTGCTCGGCTCTCTTATTGGGTCTTATAAGTCATGCAAAGCAGAAACACAATGCTACTGATATAATTATTGACATAGTATTTTCCATGCAAATAACATCTGCCTACACTTGTCCTGTGCATGTCGCCGTTTACTTTGCGACGACTCCCAGTCTGTTCCGCTGCCGCACCGTGTTACATTCAGTAACAGTCCCAACTCGTTATTGATCCATTCAAAAAAAAATATCTGGTGTGATTCTTCGTCTGTATTTCTTTGTTCTTTTGCCAAATCTTCTGTAACTACGGAATAGACCATCTGCTTAATGTTTACACCGGCACGCGCATGCCCAGTGTACGGCCACTAGATGTGTGTTTTCAGTAGTTTTAATGTAGACAGAATAAACTCTGATAGGCAGCTAAAATGCTGGTGTGGATGGATCGTATTCGTTTTAATTCTCCGTTTTTAAACTAAAATGGAGTAGTGTGGTTGGGGCCTTAAGGTGTTGATTCATGTTTGATACACACAGGACTTGCTCAAAGACACATTTACTTAATGGAAACACTTGGGTTTATCCATCCAGTAAGTGGACGCACACATTTATTTTAACTCTATTTAACTGAGGTTGGCAAGTTCATCAAGGATCATTTTACAGATAAAATCGAGCAGGTTCAATCCAAACACTTGGCATACAACAGCGTGCAAACAGCCAGAAGTCTTTTGCAAGTCTGTGTATGTGCTAACTTGTACCTAAAAAACACCTGGGGGCACAAAACTCTCTCAAGTACAGACTCATATCAAAGTAAACAGGCTCAGTGGTGTTTATGCTCATAGGTCTGACACTGTGTTGACAATGATAGAAAAAGTAAGGCTCCAAATGTGCCCTAGTTCTTATCAACTGGCTTTGTGATACATTGTTGACGGCCGGGTTGAGAAAGTCAGGTTTGTACTTTCACATACTCTCTCTCAGGCAGCGAGGTCAAAGGTCAGGCTATGCCACAGATCCATAAGCACTTTAATTAATCTCTAAGCTAATGTTGGGTGTTTTTAAGTGAGTCACTGTTACTTAGACAGTTAACTGTAAAGGTTGAGCCAGCAGAGGTGCAGCCTCAGCAGCAACACCGTCATGTACAAACAGAGAAAAATTAGGTGTCTCACTAAAAATGGTTCTCTTCCACTCAATCCATCATATATTGCAGTTTACATTCATATGATTAATCTAATCTAATGCGTTTACTTTTCAAGGGTACACTTAAGTTCACGGCTTGAAATTAGACGATTGAGCCGTTGAAACAGAGCCACAAAGTTGCCACAATATTACTATATTATTACCATATTATATAGTATTATTATTACAAACAATCGGCGGTTTTTAATAAGCCACCAATGAATTCCTTGAAACAGTCAAAAATCTTAGACTCTCTCATAACAGCCACACATTTGATGAGTTCATTTCATCTCTTCTGGGACCTGAATCTCATCACTCAATAAATTCAGCATTTTGTTGGACATACTGTATGTGTCTGAGGTAAATATTCTGCAAGAGATGGTGTCACATTAGGACTTCAGTTTGTTTAATTCAACACACATGTGCCCTGCATACACATGTATTTGAGTGTTACTCCCTCGCAGCTGAAGGGTTCTTTATTACAATGACAAATACGCCCAATTAGTCTCAGTTCAGCATCAGTCCCCACAGATGTTTCTCAGCTCACTGTAACTGAGCAGCTGCAGCATACATGCTCATTTAGGGTTAATATCCAAAATATAAAATTTAGGGGTTAAAAATTATAGTCTGGATTTTATCAACATTGTAGATAATTCAGAATGTAGGTGTGGTATAAACGAAGCAACAATTCAAAATTCAACAATTTAATTGACTGCCTTCCTTGTTATAATGTACACAGATATTTTCATTCATTTTTATGGCATTGTTGATTTCGCCACTGTTTTTCTTATGATATAGCCTCCTATTGACGGATCAGTTCTCCATTCTGATTGGTTGTGGATTATTAGTGGCTAAAGAACATTTCTTTTATGTGTGTGTGTGTGTGTGTGTGTGAGAGTTTCTTCCGTAAATGATGTCAACCACTGGGAAATTATTTCCTGGAGAAAGCTATACCAATGTTCCAATACCATAGAGGTTATTTACCATTAAAAGCCATTTTTTTCTACAAAACTATAATGTTTTAGGTGGTTTTATCATAAATCAGTAGTGATAAACTAGAGTGTCTTCCTCCATAACAAATACAGAAGTAAAAACATGAAACCCTGTACTGTATATATTCTGAATGGCAATAATCTTGGTTTTTAAATTTATTTTTCTTACCTTGGAGATGTATGCTTTGATGCCTTCGGCCAGTTTGATGCAGGGCTCTCCGAAGAGCTGGGCCAGCTGGTCGGGGATGTCCTGGTCCTTATCCAGAGCGTTCAGTAAACTCAGACACTTCAGCTCCTCTGTGACACCCTGGCTTCGCACCTAAAGAACAAACACACATCAGGATCACCAGGGGTATGTACATAAAGGGTTAAAAACGTAAGTTATTTAATTGAACATATCTCAGCAGGACATTTATAGTCTTGCACTGACTGATATACAGTAAAAGTACTACAATGCAGCCTGTGAACTGATCCATATAAACTGACTGAATCTCAAAAACTGCTGGTGCTCCCACGTACAGAATATTCAGATCAATTTAAATTTTGTAGGAAATTTACATTGCATCGTTACTGTGGCCCACATGGACAATCACAGTAACGTAATTAAATAAAATTAATAAAAAATGAAATAATCTAATAACCTAAACACATCATAGACTTTATATGACCATTCTGAAACTGGGAATGAAGCAACTCTGAGACCAAATGTAACCTAAATGTTTTGGCACATGTGCCGCTGGAACAGGCAGCTGAAACTCAACTCCTTATGTAACAACTCTGCATGCATGTAGGGGCTTACTGAAGAGTTTCTCCTGGAGTGAACCGAACTGAGCCACACATACATACATCCAGTAGTACATCCATATCGAGACATCTAATAAGAGACAATTAAATCAGCAATTCCTTTGAGGCAAAAGGGGGAATAGTTTTTCCCCCAGTGACTTCCATCTGAAATTCGACATGTTTTCATGTAATTTTGGGCAGCATGGGTCGAATAAGACATCTTTGGGAACCGAAATGTAGAGAGAGGCTCTGGTAGCTCCAAGGCTGCAGAGTTATATGTGTATAAGTGTGTGTGTGTGTGTGTACCCTTCAGGGAGGTTGTAAGCGTCACGGTCTGAAAGCTCTGCTAATGACTCTATAACAAGCCCTGATGAGGAGAGAGAGATTACAAAGCTGCACTCCTTCAACCCTGTTCTTTAATTTTATTAATTTCTTTCTGCTTGACCCCCGTTTTCTAATGAAACCCTTTCCTTAGTCTCTCTCTTTCTCTTTGGTTTCTGCCTTCCTTTTGCCTTTTCTTTCTTTCTTGTTACTTGTTTCTTTGTTGTCCCTCTTTGTTCTCACAGATACTGGCCATGTTTATGCATGAGCGGATTATCCTGTTCCTGGTGAAGATAACAGTGTGTCGCTGCCTTTATGTGTGTGTGTGTGTGTAAATGAGTTCAAAACAAGCGGGAAGGACGGTTACTTACGAGAAAAGTTACGTTTCTTTGTTAAAGAGTGGGGCCACATCCCAATAGTCTCTGCATGTTGCCCTGTCCTGAAAAGGATGACTCATGTCTTTAATGGCTTCACATCATTCAATCATAATGAGTCTAATTAGATGCACATGTTCCTCTTGATGCACAATCTGGTTACAAGCTTCTATCTAGATTTAGGTCAATTTTGGGAGGCTTGTAATGTCAAATAAGGTCAAATATACAAAGGGCTTAAAGCTGAGGAGAATGCTTTCCTAACTTGCTCTAAATGTCTAGAAAGCATGTAACATGTCAGTAAACTACGCAGAACTGTGTTTGATCTTTTCTTACAAAAGGAATGAGAAAGACAAAAGATTTAATATTAGAAAGTCCAGCTTTCTTCTGGATTTGCTTCTGAAGTTTTGATTTATTTCTTCCTGTTGGCAGAGACATTTCTGCACCTGGGATCATAATTTAGTTTTGGCAAACATTATAAATCTAAAGCTTTATTTTTAGAGTGGATGGAAAAATCTTCCCTATTATAGCCTCATTTTGAAGCAGAATATTCTGAGCTGCTATTTGTTCCCCAAGGACCAGGGGTATTGTAGTAGCAGTTCAACAAAATTAAAAAAACCTCCAGTGAAAGTAAAGGTCAAGTAAAAGCATGTTAGCCTTTCATTGTGTTATATTATAATGTTCTTGATTGAGATGAAGCTGATAATGCGTCATCATGTATAAACTAATCTTGTGTTTGATGCACAGTTTAATCTCAAATAAAACTAGTCAGTGTTAATGCGGTAGAGTAAAAAGTTCAAAATCTCCCTCTGAAATGTAGTGGAGTAAAAGTATAAAGTAGCATACATGTAGTATTTGCATTAATACACTTTCCACCCCTGCCAAGCAACTTAAAAACTCCCATTGTCTTTCAGTGTTGCGACAAGAGAAAAGGAAGCACAGTAGGTTGTTATATATCATCTGCATACAATCAGGACACATCCTAACAAAAACTGCTGACAGTGGAGTCTGGGCAGAGACGAAGGGTGTGTGATGACAGCTACAACTGGCAGAAGTGTTGGGGAGGTTCACACAAGCATGAGTGGATCTGAGCTCGCTCACCCCAACAAATGGAGTGAAACTAGGCTTTCGTTTCTTCCTTGCTCCTCTGTCAAAACACACTCCCTGCTTTGGTGGTTCTGGTTGAAGGATTAATTGTTATTGAGGAGTGTCTTTTGTGTGTGAGAATAAAAGGTTAGACTTTACAAAGCATGTACGTGTGTGTGTGTGTGTGTGTGTGTGTGTGTGTGTGTGTGTGTGTGTGTGTGTGTGTGTGTGTGTGTGTGTGTGTGTGCATGTGGGTCCATTAAGTTTTGACAGGGGCGGTAGGGAGTGTCTCATCTATGTTAGTGAGGAGATAAATCCCATCCACATCACTGCGCTGAGCAAAAAACAAGATTAAGAGAAAACTTTCTGCTCCATTACTACATGGAGACGAGGCCAGAGGCTAAACTAAACTATGCAGAGTTACATTAGCATCACGTATATATATATATACTTTCTTTTCTCCGGGTTTAAGCTGCACAAAGAAGTGAGACATAATTTAATTTCTTAATGTTTCATGCGAAATAAAGTCAGTAAACCATCTTTCCTCTTCTTATTTCAGCCATTGTTGTTGAGTCCATTTGTTGCATGTTAAGTTTTACTCTTAAATTGTTTTGCAGTGCAAATTTTCCGGCCAGTGACAATAAATTCAAATAACATTCAAATAAGACAATTTACATCGTTTGTTTTAATCACCCAGAGTGTGTTTGAAGGTTGTGAATTAGCAAGTTCAAGACTAAGAGTCTACAATTGCGCAAATGGCTCTGAGCTAAATACTAACATCAACAGGTGTGATGCTTCCAATCTTACTTTAGCATGCTAGCATTTGCTAATTAGTATAAACACAAACTGCCGCATAAACCAAAATATTGGACAAATGTAATAAATGGCCATTTGATGGGTTTAGATGACAAATCACCAAAGTTAGTGGAATTCATCCAGATGAGAGAAATTAATGCTGGCACCAAATTTCAATAGCAACCCATCCAACAGACATTTTGCTTAAAACTACAAATATTAACCTATTGGTGGCACTAGATGGAAAGGGGATCACAAGTGATAAGGATTCACCCTCTAGACATGTGTACCACATTGAATGGAAATCCATCCGATGGTTAAGATGCTTCAGTTTAGACTAAAGTATTGGATCGACAGACATTGCCATACCTAGAGCCACCGCCAGCGTGGCACAAAAAAAAAAAGGCTTTCATGGTTAAACAACTCAGTAAGATTTTTATCACACTGGAAATACTACCTAGAGACTTAAAGCACTCAGTAAGTTTGATTTACCCTCATTTAAAAGCAATAATTTTAATGTAATGGCTCTCAAACAGTCTGGTGTCCAGCTGTAGCTGCAAATCAGCAGCACGATGGAGCCAAGCTGGTTTGGTCTCTCTGCAGGATCTTTCATTTTCAACTTTCTGGGCCTACTAAAAGCCCGTAAGCCAAATCCTACAGCTCTGTCGACTCGCTTTGCTGTGCAGTTGGTCATCTTTCATTCCTCTCACATGACTGTTACTGTCACTGACTGGCATCATAACAATATCTCTCCCTCTTTCTGAGGCCATTGAACTTAAATTAGATCTTTATAAGTGATTTTATCAGTTATTTCTGGTACTCATTGTGTTTTTGGTTTAGTAAAACTGTTGGAAAGCAATAAAAATGTGAAGATTCGTAAACCAGTAGAGACATGTAAGCCTCCGGAGATGGGAGACCACTACATCATTGTCATGCCCTGGGAGCATGCAGCTGGAACTGCTCCAGAGGTTTTAAACATGAACAGTTAGAAGAAGACCCTCCTTCTCTCGCTTCTCCTGAGTGCTCCTTTGACAGCAGTTTCTCTTTGCCAAGTTCTGACTGCACTTAGCCAAATCCCGATAATTTGCAAAACCGGCCCCATTAGTTACACCCAGATGACTCAGCTTTAACAAATCAATAAGGTCACAGGAGGTCGGCCTCGGCTGTTAGAATTGTAAAACCTCATGTCTCCTTTGCGTTTTCATAGAAATTACTTCTGACAAAGACTTAGTCATAAAGACTTAATGTCTTAAGAGGAATCGTAATCTTCGTATGCCAAACTCTACTCTGCAGTTGTGCTGTTTTTCTTTAAAACAACATACTCTACTCTTCACAAAGGGCATAGCAGCTCTTAAATTCTCGTCCCTGTAACTTGTCCCCTGAGCAGCGTATTTTCTCAGTGCGTTGACAATGATGACTTGTCCTTCCCTTGGCTCTTAAGCAACGAGTCCTTTGGGCCCGTTATGCAGCCAAACGCAGGCTAACACATGCGAAAAACATTCAGCAACACACACGATCTGATGTAACTCTCTGTTGTGTTGTTAACTTAGGCTGAATGCCTAAGTATGATATTGGCTCAGATGGTTGAAAGAGTCTTTAAATAGGATTTTACGTGGACAGTCACCGATATTTGGTTCCAACACCCCCTCAACAAGGATTTCACACAGTATTTTTAACATTTTTAAATTATTTGGTTTCATTTCTATTTATTCACTGTCCTCATTCCTGATCAACAAAATGGGTTGATTTCCATTTACATCCACACAACCCTTCAAAAACGTATACTACCATATCTATATCTATTTAAAGACAAAAGCATCCTGCTACATTCGGCTGTGCTAAAGGAGGACGTCCTTATTTGAAGACCTTGACTTTGTTTAGTTTGTCTGTTGTCGGAACAGACAACCTATCCTGATTTATTCATTGGTAAAGATTTCTTATATCAGCTTGTTAGTTGGCTAAC